ATTTGTAATATATGGAGAGGGATTAGCCATATCAAGCATATGCTTTCATACTGTGGTGCAAAGAACACACATGAGAAAATTTAGCTCCAATGCACTGAGAAAACTGTTTATGAACAACTCATTCAAGAGCAGAGAGAAAAAATAATTTGATGGTGATTCTTCATCAGATGCACCCAGTAAACACATGTGTACACTGAAGAGCCTTTAGTCTTGTGCTAAAACTGAGCACTACCAGGAGAGCTGTGCTCAAATAAAATGCCTGTTTTTATAATCCCATCACAGACAGCTGTGCCCATACCCTTAGCTTTCACTTCTTATTTGTACCATTCACTAGTTTATAACCTAAAAGAGACATACATTTATTTCTCCTCAAAATATATTTATTTGGCCTACAAATGGACCAAAAATATGCAAAAACTACTTTGATTTTTACTACCTCACCTACATAAACATATCAATTTCCTTAACCCTATCCAGGACAAAACAGTATTTTCTTTTTATTGCATTCCAGAGGAAGTTGTGCCTTAACTTGGATGTTATTTATCTGCTATTTATCTACATCTTTTGCTTCAAACTGTCTGTCAGGAGACAAGCTTCCATGTCTGTTTTTTTTGTACCCTTAATACTCAGTCTGTAAAGTCCAGTTCTGCTGACTCTGTCATTGCACACGAGAAAAAAGTTTTCATATATTAAAAATAAGGTTGCTTCATGGAGGTATGACCTTTTTGAAGTTATGAATCAGAAAAGAAATGTCAAGCATCATTCCTCAGTCAAAAAAAAGTACAAGTTTAAAGTTGATTTCAAATCTCTTGTCAGAAAGTAAAGCATAAATATGAAATATTTTAAATAGCCTCTAACACTTATAGAACTCTTAAAATTGCAATGAGTCAAATATCAACAGGCCTTTAAGAACCAAAACAAGTGGAAATGCTTTAGAAGTGGAGCCACCAAAGTTTTTTCATTGTAATACCCACTGGTATTACATATTTGTTGAACACCAACTCATATAGTTTAACATTTCCCGATCTGGTAATTTCATGACTTAAAAAGAGGAAAGTAACACCTATAAATTGTATGACTGAAATTTACTGCCACTGAGTCAATGAAAATTTTGCCATTTTTAAATATAAACACTTAAATTTAAAAAAAAAATACTAAAAGGTTCATCTAATGAAAAAAAAGAAATCTGCCACTTAAACCCCAACAATTTCATCCTTATTTCAGCGTTTTTACTCTTTTAATTTTTTATGTTTCTGTTGCTAAACTGAAACGAAAATGCCTTAAAGGAGAGAATTGAACAGAAATTGAGTAATTCTATGTCATATTTCAAAATTAGTATTTTTACCCATCTTTCCTTTAGCACGTTGTCTATTCCAGGCCCCAATTTTCCCTTGCCTCCCAGCCACCAGCAAGGTAATACAGATGGTTACTGCAAAGCTGTTAAGAGGCACATCTGAATGCATATTTATCCACTTGGCAAGATTCTGGTACAGCTGTAAGACGATGCAAATCTGCATTACAATACAGCTTCATTCTCTTGCCTGTGTGAGAAAGCAGCCATGATATTAATAGTGCTGCTTAAGACAATGCCAGGCAAATATGACGTAAATGGATGCAGTTGAGCTGAGCTATCACAGCACTGTTAATTTACACCTCTGAAAACAAACACTCATTTGGGTACCTGAAACAAGTGTATATCTACACCTATATCAAAACTCATTTTCATTTGTTTTGTTTTTGGAAGGAGAAACTGATAACACATGATAACTCTACCAGATGTCATGGTAAAAGAATACTGTGGAGGTAAGTATTTGATACAATCACCTGAAAAGAAAGACAAACTAGGAGGCTTTATTTCATCCTAAGAACAGTTTTAATAAATACAGGTGCCATTGGCAGTCAGTGATAGCTAATTTTGCTCAGGGTATGTCTTTGTTCCAGCAGCTGGAAGAGCAGTTTTCATGTGTAACAAAAGAAATGTACTTAATAGGCAACACCTGAAAATCTTCAAGAGAATAAACTATAGCAATAGAAAATGCAAGTGGAGAGAGCAATTCCCGGGAAGGGGGTAAAAGAAAAAAAAAGGTATCACTGGAATCTTCTCTTTATCTCAGGTCAGCTCACAGTGGGAAGGAGATTTGAAAAGGAAATTGCAAGTTCTTAGCAAGCATGATTGGAGGCATTGAGTTAATAGCCAGCAATCAGTATAGGTTTGGTAGTGTACTTAAAAATTTAAATGTATGCATATGCCACAACTGCAGAATGCCTGAGCTTTGTCTCCTTTGTAAAAAACAAATGGAATAACTGGCAATTTAAATCTCAAACAAAAATGGTCATTTTTTACTTAGGTTACTGGGGTTTAAGTGTACTTCCATTAAATATTTCAGTCATTTCAGTATATGAATGAGGCATATAAATTGTATATGCCTCTGACCTTGTTTTACACTAATAATACTGCCAGTACCAACAGGATCCTAGATAGTATGAGTTTTCAGATGATACTGTTTCTCATCATATGGAAAGATGCTTTGTATCACCATGTTGGCAGCACATAAATTCTATTTGAAGTCCATTTTTCATTGCCATTTCTCTAAGACATTTAGGCTCACTATCTTCTTATTTCATATGTCAAAAACTAAACGAAAAGGACAGTTTTCTGATTTAAGCAGCTGCTTTATCCATACTCTTGAGTAACTGTGCACTATATTCAGAAAGCTACAGATACAAATGAGTATGACAACACCTCTAGTGAGAAAACATTAGAAAGCCAAAAACGTTAGGAAGCCAAATAACCCTCCTGAAATACAAGACGAAATGGTTAGAGATC